ATTGATGAAGTTGGTGTACGAAGGTCAAAAATATGTTTTATGATTATACCATTTGAATATTTAATCCACTCACTATTTCACTTACAAACAGTCTCCTGATTTGTTTAGTGCTTGAGAATATGAGCAGAAAAAACATGAAAATATACTAACAGGAGGCTTCTCTCAATATGAAGTAACGTGTAATATGTTAAAATATTAAAAAAAAAAAAACACTTAAGATAAACATCATAGAGCTTGTCAAGTTAAACATTTAAATTTTTATGATGGTATGAGCCATTTTTGAGGCAGCAGCTGTCAGATCCTAATACTGGCTTCTGACTTAGGTCCTACTGATGATTTAAAGGTGGAAGTAAGTGTACATTGTGATGTTATTCATTCATGATTATGTGATAATGATGACAATTATGGCTGGCAGTGGGACCTATGATTGATGTTGACCTGGAACAACAGTGAGGACCTGATATTTCCAGCAGTCCATATCCAGTTTTAGTTATGTGACAAGAGTGGATTTTACATGCTCATTCAGTGAAAGTAGTATGAAGCTTGTTGAAGTTACATTATTAAATTGTCAGAAACAGACATCAAAAATAGTAATATAGAAAATTCTGGGAAGGCATCTCAGCAGTGTGCACTAAGCACTGCTGCGATCTGGAGGAAATATTTCTGCAAAGTTGGACACTTTAGTACTGAGGCACCTGAACATTTCACTGCTTCTGTCTTCTGATTCTGTTTGTAACTACTTGCTAACATACATAACGACAGAATACCAAGCCTAATTGTTGAATTTGAAGTGTTCACAGCAGTGACCCTGAATGGTACAGTCTTCTCTATTGGAATGCCGTGTACTTCAGAGACAGTCCCACAAAATTTTGGGGGATCATTGGGCTCTCCAAACTACACAGCATTTCAGCCTAGAAGTCTGTATTCTTAAAGCCTTATATTATTTGTTTTTCAAATGACTATGTACATTGTTACAGACACTTATACATTTAAAATTATATACATGTGCCATTGCTATAACCATTCCCTCCACCATTGACAATATTGTAGCTCTGTATCATGTAGAAGCAAGCTGTGTAATAAAAACTATAAAGTTTTCCTGTTTTATCTTTTTCCTCCTCCCATATTTTCCATTACCTATGACATGAAAATGGTTTGGTGTTACAGCCATATATTTTTGTGAAAGGTTTGGCCATCCTTAATAACAGTTGTGAAGATGAAGAATTGAAGAACAAAAGCCGTAATTCATATTTGAAGAATAGTTAGGAAGACTAGAAGTAATTGAAAGATTAACTGAAGTTTTGATCCTTAGAATGAGCTTTGAAGACACAGTACTTCTGAAGGATGAAAAAGAAATATGTGCATATGTATTCTCATGTGAGAGAAAAAAATCATTTTGAACTGTGCCGTCTTCTGGGATATGACACTTTGGAGACATACTTCCGCAATCTTCTACGTCAAAAAGTAATATAAGCAACAAGCAATCTGCTTCCTTGTTGCCAGTTTGACTTAGTCTTTGGCCCTAAAGATGGATATGGCATGTTCTTCTGAAACATAATTAAACTTCCAGTAGATTATACATCAAGACATACAGAAGATAGTAATCTTCCACCATCATTGCCTTGAGAATCTCAAATTGGGCAAATTTTAATATTCTGCAGATTTCAGTAAAAGGAAGGAAGAAAATCAGGTTCAATTAAAGTAGGAAGATAATAAATTGATATCCTGTCAGTCAAAAATTTCTAAGTAATTCTGAATGTAAGATCTAAAAGTCCGTGATGATGGTATTGTGACATGTCGAACCGTTGTTGGGCAATGGGATATGGAACGAGGTTACACCTATGAGGATGTCAAGTTCAATTTAGAAAACTTCATGTATGCGATGGTGCGTGCAACAGTGGATTACGAGGTGTATGTAAATCATCAGGTGTGTTTTCCACTGTCTGACTGAGGGTTTATAAGCGTAACTGGAATGCCCAAGGAAGTCAGTTGAAGTACGAGTTACGAGCATGGAGTATTCAGAGTCAGTTGAAGTCTAGCAGTTACGAGTTCTTGAGTTGTATCAAGTGAATGGAATCAAAACAGTTGAAGCCTGGAAGTGTCTATGCCAGAAGTAATTGGGACAATAAAATTGTGAACTGTGTAAATGTGAGAGCAAGTGTGCAATAAATATGTAAGACCCAAACGGGCATGAAGTAATTTGTCACGTCACATACAGCAACACGTGACAACTGGTGTCAGAAGTGGGATGCTCAGATAGTATTGGATTATTCAGAATTGGTTACAAACTTAAACATGCCACAATTTGGTCAGAGTTCATCAACTGATCTATTATTGAACTGAAGACTGACGTGTGTATCTACCGCATTGTCCTACAAAAATGGAACTATTATTGAAAGCTCTACACGAAATGATGGCTAAGATAGACAGAATGGAGGCTAATATGGATATCGATTGGGAGGAGAGGAAGGCCGATTGAAGAGAACCAAGCCAAAACAGATGAAGAGACAGTGGCCCGCCGAGACACAACAGAGGTGCGCGTAGAAGAAGAGCCGACCTCACTGGACAAGAAACCTGAGGTGGCAGCACAAAAAGAAGAGTTCCCTGTAGAATAAGTCACAGTGTTTCTGATCAGCGTACCAAAGAAGAAAGGGCGTAGGGACAGATTCTGTAATGTGGATTTGGTCAAAAATATTGTTTGGGCCTGGTCCCAGGCACTGCTGACAAGTGCACTAGTTCTGAACGTTGCATTTGGCCTCTTAATTCCTGTTTGTATTGGGTTCCGCTGGTAAGTGGTTTGGATTCCAAATTGAACAATGCTTATATTCTGTACAGGATCTGAGGATCTCACTGCAGTTGTTATGAAGAGTTCTATCTTGTTGCTTCGCTTATTCTTTGACCATAAAAATGGAGGTAACATGTCCCTCTGAAACATCGGTTGACATTCAACAGACTTCACACAGTGTTATATCCCAGAAGAGAGAACACATCATTGCTTGTAATCCTTCAGATTAGATTTCTTTGGGTCCCAAATTATGTATTTTCCCTCACTGTCTAATATCTGTGTCAGGTTTACTTCCTTTTGCATATTTTCTGTGTAACTTAGAGTTACAAGTTGTCAGTTTTGATGCACCTAAAAATTGTACAGTATTTAGATAGTGGGTTAAAAGTGGTCACAGAGAGGAAGTAATTATAAGGTTAATGTGTGTGACATTGGTTCCACAGTGTAGACACAAGTTGAGTGCACTGCCCTGCCAGCTAATAGCGTCCTGCTGGAAATAATTGCTCTCACTTGTCACAGAGCCAGACACTAGAATTGCATATTGTGAAATCATGAACTCATTAGTGAGCACTACACCTTCAGCACAAACTGTAGCAATGCATATGCAGGTAAGCTGTCTTGCAATATGCAGACAAATTTGACAGTACTGGGGAATTTGGAGACTGAATAGGTTGGCCCATCTTCTCTCTGTACTATAGAAACATAATATAAAACCTAAAATTAGCCTATTATTTTTTTTCTATAGTTTATCAAGACAGGATTCACTTTTGGGTATTCAATATGCAGTGTGCATTAAACACACACATAATGGAACTTTCTTGTCTCCACATATTTCATACTGTGGTACACATTAGAAGTTCTCAGGAAAATTTAATAACATAATCCATACTTTACACAAAAACCAAATATATTCATTTCCTTAAGAAAGTTTCACAGTAAATATACATTCATTTCAATTATAGCATTTATTTTAAACATTTTTCAAATGAACATTTAACAAAATACAGGTAAACATAATTTGAAAAAATGTGCATGCTGCCCTCTTCATATTTTCTTAAAGAATTTTTACACAAGCAGCAGACCACCCTAATATATATTTGTCATTTGATGTGATGTTGAAAACTACATTTTTTCCAATTATAAACTCTCAAATCGCATTATGTGTAGAACAAAATGCATGTACTTGCCCAGATGAAGTTTCTTACAGTCAAAAAAATTCCCTGAACAAGTTATCAATGTAAACCCCCCTTTATAAAATGGAAGATATTTAGAAAATGTTTATGAGATATTCACTGAACCTAGAATGATGAGATGTTGAAAGAAACTGTCAATTCATGGAAGTTTCTGTAAAAAATTACCAGTCATACCAAGATGTATAAAATGGAAAACATTTATAAATGTATATGAGATGTTAATTGTAGTTAGAATGATGTACAATGATGAGATGCTTAAAGAAACCGACTAAATTCATGTCAGATACTGTAGGAAACTATCAGGAATACCCAGATTTATAGGAAGTGATGTGGCCAAATTTAAACTGAGAAGAGAAGGCATGAGAAATTGTGAATAGTATGAAGTATTGGGCTTTTACACTCAGAAACTCAAAATGTAGTAAGAAAATATCCGTAGAAGATAATTTAACATTCAAAAGGACAAAGAAATTGAAAGAGGAAATAGCAGCAACAGGATTAGCATATATTTGTCAGAGGCAACAGAACAGCAATATAACATATTTAGAATTGAATAAATATATAACGATATAGAAAACAAGTTGTTTTCAAATGTAATTTGGAAGATTGCTTTGGTGTTAGGAAATAGAACATAGGTGATGCAAAGAGTACTATACGTATCGTTGCACAAGAAATGAGAAAAGTGGAGTAACATAGCCGAAAGTAAGGTTTCAGAAATGAAAAACTAGGAGAGGATTTAAGGAGAAGGATGTTTACAATAAAAGGCTGAGTATAAATGATAATATAGTATACATCTAGAAGAAAATAATAAACTGTACTGAAAAATATTTATTCAAGATAGATATCAATGGGAGAACAAATTGATCAGTAAAAAGGAAAGATGTCTTATTGTAGTACTACTGGCACCAGGTAAAAAACCAATTGGCAGTTAAATAATAATAATAATAATAATAATAATTCTCCTCAGACTTTGCCACGATGAGTGATATGGTCAGTTACCTGTCTTATTAAAATCTTACTTGGCACAGGTTTGGGGTGGTGTCATTGTGGCAGCAATGTTCTTGCTGGCCGTGGCTTCAGACTGGGTACAGCTGCCTATGGTCGAGCCTGGTGGAAAGCTGAAATTTAAGCCAAGACCACAAGGCAATGAAGAGGACTACCAGAGTCAATCTCCTGAAGCCAAATGGAGAACAGAGGAAACTCAAATGAAAGCTGAGACAATGCACTCCATAACTAAATTTGCCTCAGAAAGGACATCAGATACTGTTATTGATCAGTTTTCAGTGAATACTGAAAATGAGGACTCAGGAACACAGATACATAATACAGAGCTTAACTTAAACCATGATGACCTTGTAATTCAGCAGTCAATACCAGACTCTCACTATTCCAAACATGATTCACATGACTCAACAGAAAATAATAATAGATCACAGATGTCAGAAGAGACATTTGAATCTATTTTAGAAAGAGAGGCAAGTGATATTAATACACCACACTTTAAGGTGTATTTAGAAACTTCAAATTTGAATTCATCCAACTTCCAAACTTCAAACCTGAATACACCTAACTTTCAACCAGGACTTGATCTGGAGGTTACAACCATGCACGTAGATGCCAAACTCCCAAATCCGGGGATACATGATTACCCTCCTGATAAAGATTCTACTTCCAAATTATCAGACTCATTCTATGAAACTAACTCAACTCCGTATCCAACAATAAAACAAAATAATGAGAATCCTGAAGGACTTATGACTATCACGAAATCAAATATTTCAAGCATAGATGATGAATCAGGAACATCATGGATATATAGAACAGGTAACAGCAATAATGAAACAGAAGAGAATACAATGCAAGATGCCAGTTTGCCACTTGATATGTTGAAAACTGTGCATGAAATGCTGATACAAGAAACACCACACACCATTAGAGGGAAAATGCACTTCCTCCAACAGCTGAAGGATAAAATGCTCCATTGTATGGGTAAAGTAAACCATAACCATGAATAGATGTAACTCACTCAAGGAGCTGAGCCTTTCTTGAGAAACTGCCAATTGTGCAGCCACTCAAGAAATTCCCAGCATTTCATGGAACTCGAAGGTTCATTACCATGACACAAGAGCCCTCCACTGGACCCTATCTATGAATAGTTATAACACTGTCACTAAGCTATGCATATAACAAATCGCTACAGCACATGCTGAGTTTCAGTCTGTTATGTCTTCACTAGCCGTTGCTTGGTCACAGTCTTCACTAGGTGTTGCTTGGTTGCAGGTGCTAACTATGGAGGTTCTTCAGCTTCTGTGCTCATATGCTCACTGGATGAAGGCTGGCTTGCAACTCTCCTATGATGGCAATTCAAAGTCAAAATTCTGTTACAACTGATGGTCAGTTGGCCAGTCTCTCTTGATGTCAAGCACCATCCGGAGCCCAAGACCAGATTTTTATTAGTCAGGCAGTTGTTAGTTTGTTGATGTGGGGTGCCCCCTCTGATGAGAGGATGGGTCTGTTGTTTATATTGCAGCTGATGGCAATTGTCCTGCTGGTCCTTGTTGTATACCTTAGGGTCAGACCACTAAGAAAACACTGCCACCAACAGCTCCTTTGTTGTCATGGGATGTGTCAAGAGGGGCTGTTGCCTAGTGAAGGCCCTTGTGTTCATTGGTGCAGGCATGTTTACTGGCTGTTTCCTAGCAATGTATGTTTCTGCTACCTTTCATGTCACAGTTTCAGTAAACTTGTATCAGACTACAAAGCTTCACATCTCAGAAGACAGTAATGTTCTTTTCTTGGTTTGTTTAATGGATTATTTAATTACATTTAATCATATGTATGGATTAAGATAAACTGGCAAAGATGTGAAAAGATGAGACCATGGCATCTTATAACCTTTTCGTGATGAAATTACTTCTATCCACAGACTGGGGCACAGTTTTAGGTTGGAATATGTTTTCCATAAACATTCTCTGGGAAGTATGCTTCCTGCACAAAGACAGGTCAGAAATATTGTGGGGATGAGGTACTTTTGCTATGGAGCGGATTCATGGAGAAATTAGCGAGTACACTTCCCACTGACCACAAAATGTAATGGCAGTGTCCCACTAAATGCTTGGCAGGGCTCACAGAATGGCCAGACTGCAGGCCAAGATTTGAACCTGAGATTTCCTGAATATGAGACAGGAGTGCTAAGCACTATGTCATGGCATAATGACAGTACTCATTTCTTGCAGAAGGACGCATAAAAGGCCTGTGGATGACTGATGATGAAAGGCAAGCCCGCACAGAGAAAGGAATGGGTTTTCCATCCATGGAAGGGGCGCTAATGTCAATCTCATTCCTCATTTTTGCAGTGTTCCTTATCAAGCTAGTTCAGGTATGGCTGCTTTGGGTGATCTGTAATTTAGAAAATATGAGATCATGCACTAAGGTCATAAAACATCAAGAATCAATAATAATATGTGTGATGTGATCAAATAATATCCAGATTGCATTTTTCTCTGTGATAAAGACATCTACCCCATAGCCCATGCTGTGCCCTTGTGATTTGATGCTGTGAATCCAGTGACTGTACTACTGTTAGAAGCATTTGAAGAAGTTATTTATTTGGAATTCAGCAAGTCCAGTTTGTAACTGTCCTTTAATTATGACAATGTCATCTGATCTTCTGCCTTTCAGCGACAATTTGACTTTCATCACTTGTTCACTTGTTCACCTTTGAAAGGAATTGTTGTCTCTAAACATATCAGTCACAACTAAAAACAACCACCAAATTGATCTGGACATCAGTTATGCCAACAAATTAATCTGTAAAGTACTTGATACAAAATTCCTTGGAATACATGTAGACAGTACACTGTCTTGGAAAATACATATTGAACAAATTATACCTAAATTAAATGCAGCTTGCTATGCGATGAGATCAATTAAGCCTTTTATGTCACAGGAAACA